GAACTGATAACGGTCAACGACGGGCCGCAACGAGGCAAGATCTTACGAGGCTGGATACGATCGCTGATTATACCGGGCGGAGGTAGCGAACTGGGAAATGAGATAACGCGCGCGCTGCGCACGATTTCCGACTACGTTGTTTCCGTGGCGAACTGACTTTCACTTGTTGCTTTCTGGCGGCGTCTCTCTTTCGAGAATCGCGCGCCGGAGGTCCTCGCCCATCGTTGTGACCGTTGTGATTCCGGACTCGACGCACGGTGTTCGCTGGTTGTTCGGTGTCTCGGCGTTTCGCGATCGCACGCTCCTCGCTTTATGTGTACGCGTTCGTTTCCCATCGAGCAAAATGGATACGTTTGCAAAATGAAATTTTTAACGATCTGACGAAGCACATTGACGTGAGCGTTGACGTGGTGTGCATTCGGTCGCAGCAACGGCGGCGACGTTTGCGGTCTAATCAGCACTATTTGGAACCGCGAAATTGCGGACGCCGAAGGTGAAATACCGCGGAATGGGTAGCCGTCTCCGCTCCGTGTGTATGCACGCGTTCACGCGAGTGTACGTGTGCACGTAGATACGCCCGTACACCTCGACGGCTAGTAGTTAATGGATGCTTAGAGGTTGATAGCCTTGAGTCGAGTATGGACCACGACTGGCTCTACCACGATCAACCGAGTCCTCGGTCTCTATCTTCTCTCCCTCGCCCGGTCGCTCTTCACCTCTTGAAAGTGCTGCTCTTTCTATTACACTCGTTTCGTCCATCCATCCATCTCTTCCTCCGTGATTTTCGCCGAGCCTCCCCGGCATATTCATTCCCGCGATTCTTGATAGAAAAATTCTTGGTCTTCTATCAGAAGCTGAAAACAAATGAGGCGGAATGTTACACTTAACTTGAGAATGTTTGCAAATAAATTTGACTGACACTAGCAAGTTTCAGTCAATTGAATCGATACTTTAGCTCATATTTAATGCATAATTCTATTAGTTAACAATGGATAAAAGTTATATCTTGCGATATAAAAATTAGGATAAATGACAAAATCAAAATATTCCTATAAATTCTATTTTTGCAACGAAATTTTACATGTAAAATAAACTTTCGTTTTATTTTATTAATTTATTTTGTGTAATAATAAACTTTATGCATAATTATAAAATATAATCATCAAATTTATTAAAGTCTTCTTTTCATATTTTTAATATAATTTTGACATCTACATTGAAATGTTTTAATACACGTAATTTTTACCTTCATCTTTTATGAAATCAGAATTCTAATGTTTTCTAGAAAAAGAGAGCTCTATTTTCTCACAGAATCTTTTAGAGAGAGCATACCATAGTATTAGATCCACTTGGGCGAAAAGAATGTGGAATCTACTATGACAATTGTAAACAGGCTCGAACAGGATAATCGTATCCACATCACTTTCTTCATGTCTATTCAAGAGATATTTAAGAAAAAGAAAATAAAACTGAGAAATGTAAAAATTCCGAGAATGCCAATAAATCGGAAAATGAAAATGACAAACGAAGCGCAACAAAATAACCGAGGTGCAAATATTGAAGTTAACTATGTCTTAATTAACTGCAAATTGTTACTCTAAGGCAATAACAATGTCCTAAATCTTTTACAAGGAGTCTGAAAAGAGATATGATATAATGAAAGTAATGAGAGAAGATTCTTCGCAATTTTACTTTTACCAAAGAAGATAAGTATTTTACCGTTATCCTATGATAAAGAAATCCGTACTGTAAAGTGTAACGTCATAAATCATTTAAGAGAGTGAATCGCGAACTTGATGCGCAACTACATTAAAAATTCTTAAACAGTCTCCGCGCCGCGCGTCATATATTTAGAAAAATGGAGTTACGAGAAATTCTCATTAAGGCGGCGATAAGTTTTGCGACATTAATGACGGAACGTCTTATGCATGTAAAGCCATTTAGTCGCGGCACGTAGCGCCTTCGAGTGGAGAGGAAGAGGAATAAAAGGAAGAACTGCGAAGAACTTAAGGATATTAAGATAAAATCAATAGAGAACTTAGTTTGGAGGAAGTGTTCGCGCGGGCAGCTTGAGAAAACTTCGCTCTTAATTAAGGTAATGGTGTCCGAGCACACAAACGTAACTGACTGCGAGGGCGAGATGTCGAGAATGGGGCGAGGACAGAGGGACGCCGATAAGACAAGAACAGCGGGAGGTGGGACAAGCAAGGAATAGAGGACTAAGAGGCCTTCTGTTCGTGTCCCTTTCTGTGAGTTCCTGGTACATGGCCGGCTCCGTTAGTTCAGTCACTGGCAACTACCGGGGCAAACACAGGAATGGCTGCGGTCGTGCGTTTGTCTGTCTGTGGACGCAATTTAGAGTCGTCTAAAGTGCCACCTGCATCTTTGACACCGCGCGTAAATTTAAATGCTAACGACGTAAATGCCGCCTCTCGTGAAATTCTTCTTCCGGAAACGTGATACGAGCGTAATGTATCTTAACGCCAAAGGACCGTTATAATAACGTAAATTTTTGTACATGTGGACGCGGGGGTACATGATCGTCGCGGATGATGATTTACCGTACGAACGAAATTTACGAGTCAATTAGAGCGCATCCTGGAAATTTATGCTCTATAACGCAGTAACACTTGTCCGGTTCAATATTGAATATCTTATTTAACGTGCCACGAGTGTCGACAATTGCATTAAATTCGGAAGAAAATAATTGGAAAATAATTTTAATAACATGAAATTCAACATTTTATTTCGCGCGTTAGCACGACGAACAAGTTAGAAACAAGTTATAAATTTTTAAATTAAATGTATTAGCGCTAACATCACGGGAGAATTTTAAAATTATTTGTAGTGCTTCTAATATATTATATACGCTCCGATCGATACGAACCGCGGTGCATTAAAAACAGAACAAAGCGTATACTTTCGTATGCGTTGCATGCACGATTAACCATTGTTATTCACGCCTGATTACCAAAAAACAGTACAATGCCTCCTCTCACCGAGCAATTATTTATCGCTTTATGAAGCAATGGCGTTTGCTAAATGCATCGACAATATTATCGCGATGATTTTAGTCCTCGCGTAATCTGCATATAATGAGCTGTTCAAAGATGACGGCAGAACTAGATAATATTTGCCGTTCTTGTGTAGTTTGAAAATATGAGATATGCACCCCATTAAATCCATTATTGCGCATTAATGCACGGTACCGCATATTGTGGTATAAGCGCGTAACGAGCATAAATATGTGTATATAAAAACAAGAAGCGCAGCGAACTTTTCAAAATTTTTTTTCCTCCGCCCGGCAGTGCAGATTTATTCCTTTTATGAAAACGCATATCGACATTGGCTTTCCGTGACATTGTTTGGAGCTTATCCCGCCGTACAGATCCCCGATATATTTATAAAGTGCGCAACAATTTGTACGCGAGCTCTCCATTAAAACCGCTTCCATCCATGTCGCGTTGAATATCGGCTGACAAAAACGCTCTCTTTTCATCGACACGGATTAATGTCCGAGTATCCATACGGGTGAGTTTATCGGCGCTTCCCTATTATCGCGGAACCAGCCTTTCAAAGTCAAGCTAGAAACTAGCGGCGCGTAGAACAATGTAAGCAGGAAGAGCTTACATTACAGTGAGCGAATCGGTCAATCATAGTTGAGAATTGTTGAATACATTAAGGTGTCCGGTTGCACCAACGATACTTTGGCTTTAAGCGAGACTTAACGTTTTAAATTTATTGTACCAAACCAAAAGCGAGATCTAAAATGTTTTAATTTGCATTTATCTTACTACGATTAAATAAATACGCAAATTTTTTTTTAAAACGCGTTAGGTGTCGTGCTTTTGCTTTGGTATATACAACAAATTTAAAATTTTAAGTTTCGATTAAAGTTAAAATAATGATCAAAATTGCTGCTAGGTTTATCATTTTTAAAATACAGACACAATGAAAAGGAGAAGGAATAAGAAATATTGAGAATTAGAAAAAAACAATTAAATTTTGACATATAAGAAACTATGTTTCAAGATACAATAACATTTTCTACATTAATGGAAAATAATTTTCTATTTTCTCTATTTTCTATTTTTCTATTTTCTATTTTCAATTCTTTACATTTAATTTCTTGTGTCGGAGCCCTAAAACTCTTGACTCGTTTGTTGCTTACAGGTCATCCTGCTCATGTTTTTTTGTCACTGCTGGTCTTACGTCGCACAATAAAACGCATTTCCGTCTGACTTTGAGCCGAGTCCTGGCAAAACGCAACCGCCCCCAGATTTAAATCCCACCCGCGAGCTGACCCCCTTTTTTTGCGGCCGTCCTACAGTCGCGAGCGCGTTGACCGTTGATTGCGGACAGCAAAACGCGTTATAACGTAAGGCCGGCGTGTGTGATTCTTCAGAGAAAGACAGAGAGAGAAAGAGGAAACGGGGAGAAGAAGTGCGCGGTGCCCGAACTTGCGTGTGTCGAGGGCAACGATGCATAACGTGGGGAGTTTACTTCGCTCGAGAGGGGTCGAGCGCGGGGAGACGCTGGTGTGCACGCAGTAACATGTTCGCACCGGACTACAGTTGGAAAAGGGATCGGGTTGGTCTGACCGGCATAAGAGATCGTCCGTGGAGAGAAGGGATCGTCGTCGGCCGTGGAAGAGCGCGTCGGGCGGTCGGCAGGTGAGGAACGGGGCAGAGGGTGATGGACTATAGAGGGGAACAGTGGAGTAACGGGGGAATCGAGAGAGGACCGGAGAACGACCACGGTGATCGAGGGGAGAGACTCGCGCGAGTGCGAGCGAGAGAGAAGCAAGATCGTGCGAGTACGGCGCGCGCGGCGAGGCTCGAATGCAAGTGAGAAAGAGCGCGATCGAGTGTTAGGGAGAGGAGGGAGGGAGAAAGAGCGAGCGAGCGTGGAGGGGAGAAGAGAGAGACGGCGAGAACCTACTAGGCTCGCCTTTCTCGGCGTCCGCAGCGGCGCGCTAGTTTCGGTTTGCCGTTCCGACGTGACGGACGTATGTTCGCGGTAATCGCTCGCTTCCACGTGGAGGCAAGAGCCGCGGAACTGTTGTTCATCGATGTGTGATCATTGTCGCGCGCGTGTTTCGCGAAGTCGCACACGGCGACGTTAAAAGAGTGAAACGTATATATATATATATATACATATATATTCTCGCGCGATCGTTCGCGGCGAGCTTTCGTGGAAGGATCTCGACGGCGGCGTCGTTCGTTCCAGAGGGATCGTCTTCGTGTTCGCGTTTGTCTCGGTTTTGTAACTTGACGAGTGCAGTGACACACGGGGTTCTCTAGGCTTGTAACTCCAACGCGTGAAGTGCGAGACACGTTTTCGCGGTGTGAGATTGAGCCGCTGGACGGTACGCAACGAAACGAGGCAAGTGCGTATCGTGGAATTTGGATTACCTGAAGCACAATAATACCGGAGCTGAGAAGAATCACTCTCCGCTCTCTGGGCCTCGTCGCAAGACATTGGACGCGGCCGGCGTCGTCGGGAATCGCAGCGCAAGCAAGGTCAGTGTCTCTTTCCGATCGCTTTCCTCGTGCGATTCCGTTGCTTCCGCGAGACAAAGGACGCGCCGCACGAGACACGCGTGGAGAGGCGAGACACGGAACGTGGTCACGTCGCGACGAAACGTGTTCGATTACACGAAAACATCGAGTAATTGTTTTCGACGATTCGATTTACGCTCGCTTTCTATCTCGTCATTCGAATCTGACGATTCGATCTCGTTTGTCAGACAAGATGGCGTCGTGGAATAACGAGCGAATCTTTTCGATTCTCTCCACGCGGTAGCGGGAATTCGACGACGAAAGAAGCGATCGAGCAATGATCGATGGAAATTCTGGGTTCGGAAAACACGATTATTCGCGCGATGTGTATGTGCAATTTTTTTTGCGACCGAAACCGACGCGACAGAGTGATTTAAACGCGCTGTCTCGTCGATGCGAGTTTCGAAGTAAACCTTCGAACTCGGTGGACGAGTGAGGTTTTTTTTATTGTGCTTTTAAAGGAGCATCGGCTTTTTTCCCAACGACGCGTCGCGCTTTTTCGGAGCATTTTATCCGCCTGTGACGAAACGTCCGCGCTGAAATTTCCTTACAAAACAGAGTTCTACGAATCAACGCCGGCTGTTGGCGCGCCTCCGGAAAGATTACAGAACGGAAAAATATCACGTTGCAGAGCAACGCGCAGTGCTCCGTTTCTAGTTGGTCGTTAATATCGCCGGGCAAGATGAATGAACATGGCTTTTGAATGGACAACGTTTCGTTTGACCTCGTCCGTCCGTTTCTCGCCGTCGTTTTCGAGCGGAAAGCGGACGGACCGAAATGTCGTTCGTTTCTATCTAAATTCAGTTAACGCGCACGCGGTTTGATAAAAAATCCACGCGCATATGTATATATCTATATTTTTTTTTCGCGGTTCATTTTAATACGCGGCGTCGCGCGCAAATTCATTTACATCGTTCGGCGCAATTTGTTTAACTCCGCGCTTTTTACGTCGAACCGGACAAAGATAATAAAAAACACGGCGCGCTCTACGTTTAAATTATTATTCATAAAAGTTACTGCAACAGTAATTACATCGATACGTTTTTACGTCATGTTTCGCTGTTATGCGAATAAAAAGCCAATGCTCTGGACGGGTTTGTTAAAATGAAGATATCGATATCACGAGAAATTCTCATGTATCGTACATTTGACGCGGCCATGTCACGTTTGACGTCACTTTAACGTAACTGAATTTCTTTTAATATTACGTGCAGTGGATACTCGGCAAACTTGATGAAAAGAACACAATTTTAGGTTCAGTTTATTCTCTCTCGTTATATTTCTCTTTCTCTTTCTCTCTTTTTCTTTCTGCAAAGGCATTAGGACGGAGAAAACAACGCGAAGTATTGAAATTCTTTCACGGAAACTATGCATTGTTTACGCGTATAACGTACGTTAAGCGAATGCGTGACGTACAGCACTCCGGTAGACTATTCAACTAGACTTTAATGTAACCGAATCTGTTTTGATGTTACACGAATATTTGATACTCGACAGACGTGATGGAAAGAACGTAATTGTAGTTTATTCTTTCTCTCTCTTTTTACATACAAAAAGCTCGGCTGAAAAACAGGAACGCGCCACAAGCGTTATGACTCTTTCACGCAGATTACGCATTGTTTACACATGGCGTGGACGTGAGCTAAGTTTACGTAGTGTGTACATCCCGGTAAAAATAATTCAAGTAGCCGCCCGACGTGTGTGATGCTTATTCAACTTTGATTTCAACTTAATGCCGGATGGCGTTAGATCCATTGTCCAAGCTCCAAACTTTTTCGCGGAAACGCGCGCGTTGCGCCGCGGCTGCGATATCTCGATACTCCCGGTTCGGCGTAGACACCTCGGGTGTTTGTTTTGTTGGCGCCGGTGTTTGTACGCGCATGTGTGAGTATCGGGGAACACGCCCGTGTCTATGTGCAGTGTCAACAAACCGACGTCCTCATCGTCGTCGTCCGCGACAACGACGACGCCCGGTCTCTCTCTCTCGTTCGTTGTGCCGCGTGTACATCGTGGCTCGGTGATTCGTGGAAGAAGGGAGCTCAAAGGAATTCTTCAATTGTGCACCGAAGCGAGAATAAAGATGTGGGAAGTCGCTCGCTTCCTCCTCCCTCCCGCCCCCTGCCGCCTTTACTGAATAATCGCGCGCCAGTTTCCTTCGAACGCGTAATGAGTGTTTTTCCGTCGCGGTTGTGTCAGCGAGACATGTCTTTAATGTGCTGAAAGAAAAAAAGCGTCGGGTCTATAATTGGAGGCTTCCGTGGTTCTTTCTTTTTACTCTCATTTGACGGTCATCATCGACGCGACGGTTGTTCGCGACAGTAATAACGGAATGGAGAAATGTATCTGCGGGAGAGAAAGAGAGAAAAAGAGAGAGCGCGCGCGTCAAGATAAATCGAAATTTTGCAAAGTAATTGATTCAGACGCGCCTGTAAATGCATCGCCGTGTCTTATTTTTTTTTTTTCTAACGTTAATTAGAAATTTCGCCGTGACGCCTTTGAATCGCGTCATTGACTTTTTCAACGACCAAGTCGTTCGATGTATTCTGTTACGAAAAAACGAGTTTGATGCATGGCGAGAAACCAGTTCTTTCTACATTTTGTCCTTGAGAGGCAAAATATTGGGTGGAATTTGTCGAGTAGTCGACAGATCGCGTCTTGAATAAATATGTGAAACATTTTCAACATTATACCTACGTTTATTTTAAGTGAAATTATCACACACAACGCTGTACCGACGCATAAAACGATCACGAGTAATGACATTGAGGAAGGAGGCGACATTTCGGTTTCTCTTCGTAAATTGATCTCGGCGCGAATATGCTGATTGGAAAACACGTCGTAATTTCTCGTTGGAATCGCGATTCGACGCAGTTAAGATATCATGTAAATGTATGGTAGATGCATATGATAACGTGGCAACGAAGTGAACAGTCCAGAGTTGTATATAAAAGTTTACGTGACAGTTTTCTAACGTCTTTACTCAGCGTCGAACTTCGTGGCTCCTTTTTTGTAAGTCTTGGATAAGAATACGATGTGCACGGATGAAAAACTATCGCACGCGAAAACGTGAATCATTCTAATCTTCCGCTGTAGAAACTCTAACTGATACGTGCCGTCGGTTATATGAAAAAATGATAAAACCGAGGTAGCGATGTACAGGACACGTATATGAAGACTTGACTATCTCGTTGGTTACGTTTATCTGCCTTCGTGTTCTCGCAAACGCGGGATATATCGTTGACGTTACATTATCTTTATGCATTATTGAGTTAACGTTCTTACTTTTTCTAACCGGTGATAGTCAGTTTCATATAGCTACGATCGTTTCCATATAGCTCAGTAACTATGCAACATCTGGCGTTTCGTTAAAAGCTGTGCTTTCGATCGATGCAACGAAGGATTGCATGCAAAAAAGGGCACCTCCATAAATTTTAGATCAAGGTGGATTATGATCTTTATATGCATTCGAGGTATTTTCGTGATAAATGTAAAGCCAATGTTAATAGAGGCTTGAGATTTCCAAGATATATTTACGATATTACTATTTAATCCTGCGATTACTGTGGTTTAAGATATGCCTTTGTAATATATAATATTTTAGCGAATAAATGTCAAACTCGTGGGAATGATGTTAGATAATTGGATTTTTATTATACTGAGAAAAAGATAAATTTATTTGTAGGACAAGGTTTATTTAAATAAAATGGTGAAGTAAAATTTTATTCATATGTATGAATTATCTTACAATTAATAAGAAGAATTAAATACATTTCACAAAGATATATATATTTCGTCATCGCAGTCAAACTTTTGTAATCAATAATATATTTAATCGAAGAAAATGTCACTGGCATATATATTTTTCTGAAATATTTCGAACTTTTCTTTCTCATTTACGGTTGTTCGCCTATCAAATACACTCCTGTAATATTTTATTGCTATATTATAATATATTATAATAATAATGTTTGAGAATAAGACGTATATGGTAATCTCTGTTGCATTATCGTCAACATACGATGCACTATTAGACGTCGAACAGACATAGTTTCCGTGAATGTCTTTGACCCACTCCATTTGAGTGTACATGTTAACGCCGCTTCGTTAATTACACTCCGTGAGATTACGACGAGGCAGGTGGCTCCGACGATTAGCCATTGTCCGTCCTGGAAATGCCGGTCGGACAGATACGCTTAAGCATCGTCGATAAGTACTGATTAATGTACTCCGAAACGTCAATGCCCGATGAACGTTTTAGCTTTTTAGAATGAAAATTAGCCTATCTGGAATCGGAGAAAACTTTTCAACAGTTCTCTTGTGGCCGAAACCGGAGAACCTATCGTGTGACCATTCGGAAAGCCTCTCAATTCGAACATTCCGCCTGTCATTCCGTAACATATATACATTAGTCTCAAATACCTTCAACTTATTCGAAAGATATTTTCCAAAAAAAAAGAGGAAAAAAAAAGAAAAACATCTGGCTGTGTGAATATATCTAATCAAAATTTGTGTTTCAAAAAAAAGCATGTCAAATGACTAGGTCAGAAAACGTGATGGTCACTATTTTTTAAACGAAATCACGCGCTCGTCATGGTCAACAGATTTGCTTTTTTGAAAGAGAAGGAAGAAGGATAGTGTTCGGGAGCCTTGCAGGCACATTTGCGCCTGTGAACAGATCGTGAACTCGAGAACGACGATAAATATGCCGGTAAAGGCCGGCCGAAGTATAAAGGCAACACAACGACGCCTCGCATTTGACGCGCAGGAGCAGCTGCCGCGTCCTCATCTCTATCCTGCGGTTGGAAGACAGTGATCCTCGAGAGCGCGGCTAATTTTACGCAGGAAAGCCGAACCGAACAGCAGAGAACAGCGACGTTCGTCCGCCGCGCAAAGCTGAACACTGCAGTTTCACTTTTTTTTTTTTTTTTTTAATTCCTTTCCCTTTTTCTTTTTAACTATTT